GTCGCTTCACAAGGTTACGGTTGAACCACTGATGGCAGATGGACTATTCTGACGATGCTTTTCATACTTTTCTGAACCTTGAGAGTGTAATTTACATGGTAGTCAATGGGACAGTCACAAGCCTCCCGGTTTTCATCCAAAATATCTTAAATTGTGTTCCGAAGACGAACGAAGCTTTTTTTACGCGTTTGGAACGACATGGGGGTAAGTGATTAATAACAAAATTTTCATTTTGGGGTGGAGTAACCCTTTAAGTAACATAATATTTCTTATAAATTGGCAAAAATACAAAAACGCTTTGCAGAACAACGTTAGTGTTATTTTAGTAACACTGAGATACTATTATAGTTTTTATTCCTATTTTGAATCAGTTTTTATTTTTATATTTTCTGTTTCCAAGTTTTTTTTGTTTTTGTCATTTTTAGTATTTTTTGTCTGTATAGTTTTTATACATTTTTATTACAGCAAGTTAAACTAAATTAAAAAGAGAAATGTTGCCTTTGCAACTAGCTGAAATAAATTTCAAGTAGCATTTTAAATTTTAGTTTGTTTCAGTTAACTATAATGACCCAGCATAAAGTTTGATTTAAATTTCTAAAAATTCAAATAATTTGTAATATTTGTAATGAAACATTTAATTTGCAAAAACATTCCTTTGTTTCATCACATAACACAACATTCTTGTTTTAAATCTGTCCAAATATTAAACCTTTGTTTATTTCAAGATTTAAATTAGATTTTAAATCGTAGATATTCAACATGGTATCACACTTCCAGCCCCACCGTTTCTCACATTCAACAGATGCAAAAGCAAATGCACAACACGCTTATTTATGAAAATGTACAAAAATTCTACAAAAATAATGATGAATAAAAATCAGCATCACCGCTGTGGCATAGAGTGCCCCTAAGGAGCAAAACCGTGATTTGAATATCAACACATGAATACAAATTTTCCATATCAATGTATTCAGCAGAGGTCTCACGCTCCACAGGAAGTTCTGTCTTTTGTGCTCTTGGGTTTCAGGCCTGGCTTTTCTCCCTCACCTAGTTCCCACATCTCTCTCCTCCCCTGAACCCCTGTGTCATTCAGGTTCAAAGGCCTCAGCCTTAAGCGCAGCCGTGCTGCTCTACTGTAGTGGCTCCTGAAGCTTTCAAAGGCTCCTGCCTCTCTCATCTGCCACCCTCTCTGTACTACAAACACACCATTCATATTTATAAGAAATTAGAGGAAAACCTCTTTTCCGCTCACCTTTTTTTGTCCTACAAGTATATATTTTTCTCTAGTGACTGACTTGAATTACAATGCAATATGCTAGCTGAACCCCAAGGTCCCTGAGAAAACATATAAAGTACCGTCAACAACAACTTTGTCAAAAAGGTTCCTGTACTTGACTTACAAGAAGCAAAATCACTTAGACTGTTTACATTTTATTTTTACAAGTCCTGTCACTCCATGTAGTATAAAATAAGCTGTGTGAGAAGGGAAAGTGACAGCATGCTGTGAACGTACATTTATCAGTAATAATGAGAGAAGTCAAAAGCCACACTCTAGACACTCACAGCAGATTTGTCTTTTCTTCCTAGGCCAGATGGGAAACTCCATCATTGCATTACATAAGTGAAGGAGCATCTTGAGCACCCGTGATAATAAAACGAGTACAGGTATATCTTGTACTTACTTCTATCTTCAGGCCGAACTGTCAGTCTCAGAACAGCTGTGTACAGAAATACGAATGATCTGAACGATGTAGGCCTCCCACATATTACAAACATGCCTGCAATCTAACCAGTGCAAACACACCCATACACACAAGCAGAATGCACACACACTGAGGGAAATTAATATGTTCTGCATTTGTACGCATACAGAAGTAAATGAAATTGTACAAGGAAATCTCATAAAACCTGTCAAAAACATGTCTGTGTCATGTTCTGCATCAAAATAAAATGAAAGAAAAAATTAAAGAAAGTTATAAATTGCTTACAGAAAAAAAACAATCTATTTATGTCAAACTACGGAATAAAATTTCAATAATATTTAACAATAAAATGTATAAATAAAAATGCAATAAGAAAAATGTATTCAAATCCAATAATAATAACAATCTGTTTTGTTTTTATTTATTTATTTATTTTCTTGTATTTTATATAAAATATAATTGTATTACTGTCCTTTTTTACCATGATTTAGTTAAAATAAAATCACTGAATTATGGTAGGTCTATCAACTATTAGTTTCACCTCAAACTATTTAAAGAAAGAAAGAAAGAAAGAAAGAAAGAAAATGGAATATATGTCAAACCAGAGTATTTAAAAAAATTCGACATGCATTAAGGTATTGATTATTTAATCTTAATAATAATCTTTATATTCTTAAAATAAACTTTCTGATTTTAGGGGTGGATATTTGGATTCATCCAGGGTTCTTGCCGAATTGTACAAAACTGTTGCAGCAGGTTTACTTTTTATTCCATACTTTAACATATTGGTCACAGAGACCCGATAAGCCTGGTTACACTCAAATATGAAATCATCCCTTCAAAAATATCCTGAAAAATCAGAGGCTTCTTGCTAGACTCCGGACAGAGGACAGAGACCATCTGACCCCCCATTTCATCATCCCAAAGCAGCTAACAACGGCAGCGCTAACCAAACCCTGACCTACTGCAAAGACAAATAACAGCTCCTGAAAAACAAATAAAATGTCAGCATTATAAATATTCATCGAGGTGTATTATAGCTTATGTAAACGTTTAAACTTTCATTACACAAGGCCTCATCTATGACCTAAGCAGTCCTTTATAAGATGTGACTATGAATATTTATGCTTGTTGCTCACTTTGGAAGGCAAGTTGCCACTGATTATGAATTATGAAGACATTAAGGAGTGATGCTTAGTCAGTTGAGTACGCACAGTAAACTTGTTTCAAGCTGCATTATTCATTACCTGTGTGATAGTAATATATTCCTCTGACTGCTGCTTTGGAAGAAAATCCACATATAATCTCACATCAGCTCCTGCACTAGACTGTTTAGAAGTGGCGACTCAGCTCGATATTTAGTCATAATTTTCGTTGACGAAAGCAACACTACTTGTGACGACATTATATGTCAGCTATAATCCATTGAAATACATTACAGCATATACCTATGGAATTAAGATAGGATGAACCGGCAGTTGGTTTCAAGTGATTGAGGTAAATATTTCACTTCATCCAGCTCTCTTTTTGTTCTCTGTGTTCGGGAAGTTCGACTTTACTCTCTGACGGAGCGAGAAACTGTTCCAAACAATTCAGCCTGCATCATGGCGACAATTAATCAATATAAATTCTCTGTTAATCCACGTTATTTAATTCTTCCCTTAGTAATTTACTTAGTCTGTTCGCATGTGTCTTCATGTTTGCCGGCGGCAGAACAAATGCTTATAGGAAAGTTTGAATTCAGAACAGTGGGATTACTGAGCATGTTGTGTCAATAATCATTTATGTATTTATTAATTAGAGCTGAACATTGTAGTCACGGCTTAACACTGGTCATTTGGTTGTCGTGTTCATCTGCTGTGATTAGGGGTCATTTTTAGAGCGTGTTACCGACCACATCGGTCATTACAGTAATGATATGAATGATTACTTGGTAATATGATCTGGGCTTTGGTATGTTGCGCTGACGATAAAAGAGAGCCAATTCCAGCACTCACCTCTTTCTCACCGCAGATATTACTGATGATGGAGTTGGATGCCGGGCTGGCAGAGGGGCCCAGGACCGCCACAACCCCCTTGGACATGATCTGGCACACTGTCAATTGTTAAGGGAAAGACCAACGGTCATTTATTACAGACAGAGAGCAGAAGGAAAGCAAGATGTAACCCTGCCAAGAGTGCTGCTGTCTTATTTTTATTCAAGGATCAGTGCTGGGTAGATTACTTACTAAATGTAATCCGTAACTGATTCCAAATTACATGACAATTACATATTATTATAACTCGTTTAATCGCATTGATCAACCTTGTAACATATTGATAATAATTGAAATACAAATAGAAAGAAATATATTCCATCCGTTGTTATTAACGACATGAAGTGCATTAAACATTAGGTCAAGGTTTCCCAAACTGGGGTTTGCAAGTTTAATGAAACGCTAATAATTAATTAAATCATAAAAATGTCAAATTAAAATAAATGATTTTAAGCTAACAACAATCAAAATTAAGGACTTACTAAAAAAGATTAAATATTTAGTTTGTTTACCTGCATGCCATGTGACCATTAACCAAAGTCAAAGAACCTTGAATATGCAAATGTGTTACTTAATTATTAATTTATTATCTTAAAATCTCAGGGAGTTCTTCAGGAAAATATATTAGGTGAAAGAGGCTCAGCTGACAAAAAAAGTTTGGGAATTCCTGCACTACATGTAAATAAGAAATAATGCGAATTTGTTTAATGTGTAATGTTTAGGAACATTTAAAAGATGGAAAAAGAAGAATTAGAGAGAATCAATAAATTGTGATTAATAATTGTGTGAATTATATGCAATCATGTAATCAATAAAAAGTAACTGTAGTCTGATTACAAGTATTTTAAAATGTAATATAATCTAATTTCAAGTACTTAATTTTTGGAATCTGATTACGTAATCCATTTGACATGTAATCAGTTACTGTCAAGGATACTGTATCTGCCATGGAAGTCTATAATACCCAGACAAAGCAAAAAGCATTAACAATTAGTAGTTAGTAGTAGTAGTAATAATAATAATAATAATACAAATAAGTATTATTATTATTATTATAACAACAACAACAGAATAATTATTATAACAGCAACAGAATAAAAATAAATCATTAATTAATAACTAACATGAACAATTATTAATAATAAAATAATCACCATCGAAATATAAGCAATTGTTATTATTCTTTTTATTATTATTATTAAAAATAACTAATAAAATAAATAATCATTATTAAAATAATAATAACAATTAATAATAATTATCACAATAAATAATAATAATAATAATCATCACCATAATATTGACAATTGTAGTAGTAAGTAAGTAAATAAATTGGGGACTCATCTACTATAATACAATGCTGTATTTAAAATATTTACATGTTGCTTGCAAACAGATGTATTCCATTAGAACAAATGCCTACTTTGTAACAACTTTCAATAGAGAAATATGATTTTTGGGTCCAGATGGTGCAGTTACTGAATCTACCATCAGAGGCTAATGGTCCATGCTTATCAGCCAAAACCTGATCTCTTGGTGTCCACTCAATCTGTTCTAAAATTACTAGCAAAACCCAAATAATTCCATTTTATTCAAGAACAGGTTTTAAAGAGCTCACTATAATCACAATCTAGCCTATCAGAAGCTTAGCGCTGTTATTAATCTGCTCTTTTTCAGTCTCTCACACAAAATTACATTTTATTATTAACTGACCTTTGAGTGAAGTGTGTCCTGAAATTATATTTGTGATTAGGAGCAGGAGGAGTGAGAGGTAGATTTGTTTCTCACTCTCTAGCACACAAGCGGGGCATCGGTCTGAAGTGTCATTTCTAATAATTTCTAATCTGGAGGGCAGTCGAGGCCTAATGGTTAGAGAGTCGGAGGTCGCGGGTTCGAGTCTCAGTACTGGCAGGAATTGTTGGTGGGGGTAGTGAATGACCAGCACTCTCTTCCACCCTCAATACCACGACTGAGGCGCCTTGAGCAAGGCACCAAACCCCCAACTGCTTCCCTGGTGCCACAGCAAAAAAAAAGGATGCCCACTGCTCCGGGTGTGTGTTCACGGTGTGTGTGTGTGTGCACTTGGATAGGTGAAATGCAGAGCACAAATTCCGAGTATGGGACACCATACTTGGCCACACATCAAGTCATTTTTTTTTATCCCTCTCTTTTTTAATTATGATGGTGTGGGCCACATACTGGTGCTTTGAGCACTTAAGCAGGGCATGCTGGGAACAAAGGAAAGCCATACCGCCAATCCAAACTGTATGCTAATTGTCAATCATCTTTGACGATAGTGGTCCTGACAGAAATGATGCGATTACAAAGCACCAATAGATGCAGAGTTTTTTTTTTATTATTAAATTTTTTTTAACTCATAATCTCATAGTGAAAAATGCAAATGCAGACACCTGTGGAAGCCTCTGTTACTTGTGTTCCTATAATACATTGCAAGCACATTTCTGCGCTGCCCTGAAGGGTGATGAGCTGCATTTTTAGGATCACTACACACTGCTACAGTGAATACACAAGCGTTCATTTCGCAGGTCAACTGCTCTCAGTTGGAAATCAAGTGTAGCCTCATGGATTCATGTCAGCCTTGCTGTGAATTGTTATTCTTCTAAACAGGGCTTTCAACTTGTTAAAGTAATTAATCTCATGATTTATTGGCATCAACATTATTACTACAGTTAATGACTCTTGATATACACTCTCAGAAATAAAGCTTCCAAAAGTTTTTTTTTTTTTGCAGTAAAGCAAGAAAATAACCATTTTGGGTTTTCGAAGAACCTTTTACTGAACAGTTCTTAAAATAACCATTTTCTCTTAGTATGAAGAGCATTTTAATAATAATTTAAAACATTTTTCTACTATAAAGAACATTTTGTGCATTAGAAAGGTCGTTAACGGTTCTTCATGAAACTTCAGATGGCAATAAAGAATCTTCATTTTTCAGAGTGTAGTGTATATTTTCTTCTCAACATGTATTGCTTCCAGTCTATCACAGTGACAATTACATTCCACCAACTCCAACTAACTTTTGTTAAAAGTCCAATTTGGATTTGATTTATACAGAGGGTGGTGTCAAATATATGAGGCTTTATTAAATTACTATTTATCATCAGCATAATTTTTAGTAATAAGTTGAATTGAAAATGATCTTCAGCAGCAAAAACTCCACAAGTCTGTGTAAAATTTGATTGTGTTTTTTTTATATATATACATATGTATAACTTTGTCTTTCAATGAAAAACAATTAAATACAATATAACACTTTTTTTTTTTTGTAGTGGCTTGAGCTTCACTGGTAATTAAATTCCACTAAACAAACAGTGTATCTTTTTTATTTACTTTAATTTAGCTAAATGTCTCATCCACATTTGATTCATACATAAACGATCCATTAAGAAGCACATTTTCCAGCATTTACTGGTAATCTAGAGATAGGTAGTAGGATTGTTGTGTCTGAGTATTAAACACAGACACCTGTGCAAGTCCTGATTGTTCTGATCAGTCTTTGGAAATCACAGAACAGAATGAAGCATTATGTAAATGTATACATACATGTTTTAACAATGTAGAATTTCACAACTATAAATGTTTAATATATCTCAAAAGTTCCATCTTTATCTCAGCCTGTTTTATTACACAGTCATCCAAGAATTATTCATCTGTGCTGTTGTCTTGCACGCACGGATCACAAGGCATGTAGTTATTAACCCTAGCATGTACTATGAGTTACGAAGTTATGACTGACTGGAGTCGAATCTTTTGACATGACCCTCCTGTACGGCTGATCCAGAGAAGGACAATGAATCCATGTGGATTGAGTGAGCACAATGTATCGTGGCTGGTTTCAGAACATCTCTGTTCACTTCAGATCACAAACATTAGTATGCAGACCACATGCAAACACACACAATGTGGGATGTGGGAAGATGCAGGCTTCAGCGATTTCAGACGGGAGTATGCTAGGGCAGGTAGTGGCGGTGTGACATTTCTCCCTTCCTAGGAGTGTCACTGATCCATTTCTAATTCAATTCCTGCATACTGCAAGCTATTACAATACTGAATTAGACTGAACAGGGTTGTGCGACAAACCGTGGAGCGAAAGAAAGCTGTTTATATCTATCAGGAGGGGTATTTTAATGGTGCTGCCTCATAAGCCCAGAGAAACCAGGAGAGGCTTTTCATCCTTAACCGCCATGTGTCTCAACAGCTCTGATTGTTTAAATTACAGCTTGTCTTCTCCTGATTTTAGTGCCGCCTACTTTCATTGACAACAATGAACCTCAGTCATGTTTAATATCCCTCTTTGAGTGAGCAATTCTATTTTGTTCTCCCCAACGCTATTTGATTCAGGATTTGTAAGGGAAGCATTATTAAATCTAGGGCCTCAGAGTAAGAAAGGCACACAAAGATTGACTGGCAGCTGTTAAAGTAAAAGTCGCACTATTCGTTTGAAACCCACTGACTGCCGGTTTCAATTTTAAAGGCAGAGTGAAGTTCAAAAGTCTGAGTCCACACTGAAAATCTGGGATTCAAACCTAGAAATAAACAGAAAGATTTATGATACTGCAATTGCAAAATGTAAAACAAAATGTTATGATGTGAAATTCATGCTAACTTTTCCCCTTTAAATTATGCTCATAATTAAAATAAATAAATAAATAATTTTGCTAAATCAAGAACCAAACTGTTATGTTATGATGTTAAATAAATAAATAATGATTTTGTAAAATTTAAAACATGTTACAACATACAAATACAAACATAACAAATGTTACAACATAAAATTAATAAAGAATATTTCAGATTCTGCACTATTTCTAGGTCACTAATCAAACAAATAAATTTTAAAACAAAATGTTACAACATAAAATTAATAAAGAATATTTCAGATTCTGCACTATTTCTAGGCCTATCAAATAAGTAAATTTGTAAAATAAACAAGTTAATAAATAAATCATTAAAATTCAGATTGATATAGATCCAAATGAACATTGATTCTTATTGGAGTTTGTGTTAATAAAAAAAATGTCTGTAATGTAATTTGTATTGTATGGCGTATCAGCTGACCTTTAAGAGTGACTTTGCCGTAACCAACGAAACAAATATTGTTCCAATAAATCCCTGCATACCTTCTGACTACGAAGACATCAGAATAGCAGAATAGACAGCACACTTTATTCTGTGATGAGTGAAAACCTGTTAAGTTGATTGCAATCACATAATGGTCCCTTTCTTTATCACAGAATATATCGTCTGCTACCAGCCAAGAACATATGGAGAGATGAAACTGACAGACACTCTAATTATGCATGTATATAAGTATATTTATATGTGTGTCACTGCACTTCATTACAAAACTTGGAAAATATTGAAAACAAGAAAAATTATATTTCCTTTAGAAGATGTAAAAAAGAAAATAAAAATATAGCAGGGATGTGCTCACACTTAAATACACAACAAAGTTTTGCTGTTAAATAAGTAATAAGGAATGCCCTCGGGAGGACACAATTATCTCATAATTTGCCTCTACCTGTGAATCATTATAATGCCATTATTCAGGTTGTGAAGCTAAAGGACAGCTATGAAAATTAAAACTAAAGAGCTCTGCAAAAATGTTCAAACTAAATTAAAACAAATATATGGAGTAGGAAGAGGAAGCATCATAGTTCCTAGCATACTTACAGTATATTATGCACCTTAATCTAATTGGTAATCTAGATAGTTCACCCAAAAATAAAATTTTGTCATCATCTTCTCACCCTCATGCTGTTTCAAATCTGTTTGACTTTCTTTTATTAATGAAGCACAAAAGAAGATATTCTGAATAAGGTTGGGGTCCAAACAACTTTGGTTTCCATTGACTCCTATTGTATGGACAAAAAGCAATTTTTCAAAATGAAGAAGAATTTTCAGAGAATTAATAATGACACCATTTCCATTTTTGGGTGAATTATCCCTTTCTTAAACCTAAGTAAATGTGTCACATGACGTGTGGCCAAGTATGGTATTCCATACTAGAATTTGTGCTCTGCATTTAACCCATCCAAATGCACACACACAGCAGTGAGTTGTGAAAGTCGTGGTTTTGAGGGTGCAAGAGAGCGCTGGTCATTCACTCCTCCCACCTACAATCCCTGCCGGTACCAAGACTCAAACCCGCAACCTTTGGGTTACAAGTCCGACTCTCTAACCATTAGGCCACAACTGCCTAAACATAATCCTTCTTTCCTACTGTAAACATAATCCTAGTTTATCTGGTTCCATGTTTTCCACCATTCATACTTTATCCTGGGTAATTAATTAATTACGGGTCACTAGGCGGTGATATTTCAAACTGTACACTTGTAAAACCTGGGTTGATATTCTTATTTGCATATTTATGAGATTAAAAGCATTGATTGGACAAACACATCATGCAACTTGTTTTATAACTGCTTGTTCATCTGTACAAACGTGAGGGTGATTAATTTTAAATTGATTTGTCAAAAGTACTATTTAATATATTATTAAATTGTACTAGAAATATTAAATTAATAAATAAATTAAAATAAATAAATTAAATATATGTAAAAAAAATTTTTTAAATATAATAAAATTATTAAAATATGACACATTTCTTAATGTTTAAAATCATAATTAATTAATAGCACTAATTGGACAAATACAGCATGCAAATTGTTTTATAACTGCTTGTCCATCTGTGGAAATGTGAGGGTGCATTATTTTAAATGTATCAAAACTGCTATATAGTGCTTAATTGAATATATAACTGAATGTAAAATAAATATTTTGCATATAAAAATATTATTAAAACAAACATATTTATAAAAAAGTTACTACATAAAATATAAAAAAACATTATACATTTCTTTAGGTATAATGTATAAAAATTATACTGTATGTAAAATTTACATACTCCTCAGAAACGATAAAATATTAAAATATAAAAAAATATATATAAATACTCACTAGTTTCCCCTGTCTCGTATTCACTGTCTCGGAGCAGCTCAAAAATGTCCACCTCCAGTTTGCCTGTGGTGGAGCGGTTGCTGGAACGGTTGATGCTGTCTTTCGCCAGAGTGATGGCCAATCGCTCCCCGCGGCTACACTCCATCGGGTCATCAAGAATGGCAGCTGAGACACAGTTCAAGGAGAAAGAGAGAGATCCAGAAAGTGAGATGAGATATTTTGACGAACACAACTGTGACAAAAGAGATGAAGAAGTCCTCAAGATACTACAGAAATCATTCAACACAATGAAGAATCACGGAAAAATGTAGGCACAAGTGTTACTGGGTCACCTTTGTGTGCATATTGAAGTGCATTCGATTACAGTAGACAAGATTAATGCTGTTCTTTGACAGTTTTCTTACTAGACTGACACAAGCGCTCCATGTAGCTGTTTTGCTATGAATGACTCAGTCACAATGTTGCGCAGTAAATAAACAATATCCTTGCACTATTACAGTCATTGGCTCCTTAGTGCTATTAGTGTACATACTGCCCCAGGTAGTCAGCGCAATCGGGCCAATTGTGGCTGAGTCTCGGCTCACTCGGCTGTGTTCTGGCAGCGGCTCACCGAAAGTGATGTTATGGATGTTATGGGGTAGTAGGTGGGGATGCCATGACAAGAAATGGTGGGCCAAACCCTTAATCTTTGTAAAGGTGACATATTTAGTTGACATGCATAAGTACATGTAGACTTAACAAGGACACTGTAAAATATGTATTTTATTTCATCAGTTGGAAGTAGATACCATCTTAAGGATTTTAAGGTAACAATGTCATTTTGTGGAAAAACTAATTATTCAAAGCTCTGGTTTTATATCAAAACTAGAATGAGTCTTTAATACACATATTTTAGAAGTTGTAATTCTGTATGAGTAAGTGTAGTGTGATTGTGGCCCAATGCCGGTGGTGTTGGCCCAGAGTAAGTACCCAGACTCGGGCCAGTACTGGCTAAGTGTTTCATTTCTCGTTGGTGTGATTGTGGCCCAATGCCGGTGGTGTTGGCCAAGTTTCAGTACCGGCTAAGTGTTTCAATTCTTGTCGGCGTGATTGTAGCTCAATGCCGGCAGTTTTGGCAGCCGGACTCGGGCCAGTGTATTTGGGCCGATTCTGGGGCGTCATTCATCACATGTCCATGCCGACTCTGGCAACCGCAGCCAGGCCGATTTATTTCAATTCGGCCTGCCGGATCTGGGCCATTATCGGGCCAAATCGTTTTGGCTACCTGGGGCATGTCCACTTTTGTGAACCCGTTTCATATTCAATCTGCTTTGAATATGTCTAGTCCGTGGTGAGTTAACTAAAGGCTTAGCAACAATATATGCCACAACCAGTATCTGACGCTCAGGGATATTACAATCTGCGTAAAGCAAATAACATTTACATTTTTATCACTGTAATATTTGACGTGAGAAGAGCCTAATGATGTCTGACACGATTCAATAGCAAAAGTCCTTCTTTTTAAACAAAATTGCAGAAGGAAAGCTTTATTCAAGCCCCTGACATCACATCAACACAACTATAGGTGAGCGTCTGACACTTCTGATGAATGTCAAGCTATTTTCAAACTATCCTTGTTGTGATATTTCTGTTGTCATGCTGGCATATTGAAATGGTTTATTTTTCCACCATTCTTCAAGCCAACACATAATTAGATCTCCAGTGACTCTGAATTTGTTGCATGACTCACATGCATTGCCCTGAAAGTGCTTTATTTACACTGTAGCGCTGAAACTGTGCACGATTATACCGATTTTTTTTAATGCCAGTTGTCAAACCCTGACAGAACAGTATGCTATAAGAGTTCGTGTTCATAAACATTGCACTGGAAGTAAGCACAACCCTTGGACTAATCTTGGACTGTACAATCATCATAAAAAAAATACATTATGCATAAAATGGAACTGCAGTGATTCAGAAAGCTTTAATCATTTAATTCAAACAAGACCGAATAAGCCATAAGAGTTCTCCTATTAAAAAAGGGCAATATAAATAACAATCCACTTAAGACTGCCATAAATATCGAGATGTTTGTTTAGAGATGGTAAATGGAGATCCGCGGTATGTTGTAAATGAGATTAAATCTCGGCAGAGCATTTTTTGCTATTTTAATGTGCTTTTGGGTAAAAAGCAATTAAATTACTATATACAGTACATGAGTCCAATTTGAGTTAATGTGTTCTGCGAGGAGAAAACATAGATTTTTGCCTTTCCCACAGACTCATATGGGATATTTTACAAAAAAATGTATCATCAATTAATATGCTGTCACATGTGGGGCAAAGCCACATTCATTACAGAAGTTTTCCCATCAGTAATACCTGTCATAGCAAATGTTCGCAGGGAATGCATTGCTAAAGCATACATTTATTCACATTAAAACAGTTATTCTCAACAGAAAGAGAAAAAGATTACAAGAAAAGATGTTCATTCTTGTACTGGCCACCCATACAGAAGACTTCCCACCCCCCCTCCACTCTGTTGCAGCCGATAGCAAAAGACTGTTCCCACATCACAAGTGGAGCAAGCTCTAAGCCCTGAGGTTCTGTTCTTGTCCACAGTTCACGGTCGCAAATGTAGATGTCAAAGCAAGAAACTGGAATTGCCAGCTCTAAACGGAATCCTAGCGCAGGGTAAAAATATCAGAAGGGGAGATCTGTTGCAGGGCAATGACATTTTAAAGGCATTGCGGTATGAGACTCTGAGATATTTTACATGCAAAGTCGGCAACACCAAAGCTCCAAAAGTATCAAAAAATTTATTTTTTAAAAAGACTGTCGCATAGCATATTTACGGTATGAGACTCTGAGCAATGTGGAGGTCCACTGCAGCTGAGGTTCTATTCAATCTTCCAGTCTTGGCTTGGCTGCTGACCCTTTTAGAGGAATCGATGGTGAGCAGCAGCGCGTGCCGCGGCATGAAACGCATTGTGTAATGTGCATGGATACCAGGGCTGACAGTTATGGTATGAGCAGAAATGCATGTGCAGCAATGTGTGTTTGCACTGCTGTGTGTTTTAAATCAATTTATATATCCGTTTTGGACTTGGAGTAAAGAAAGACGGAAAAAAATTATTGATCATCAAAGATTGTGGAATCAGATATGTTGCAGGCCAGACTTGAACCCATTTTTTCCATATGAGCACCATAACTCCTAAGCAATGGTAGCTTTTGGGCGTTTTGGCCTTTGACTGATAGGTAAAAAAAAATAAAAAATTAAAGTTGGGGGAATCAGATATGTTGCAGGCCCGACTCGAACACATTTTTCCCATTTGAATGGAACGACCCCCTTAAATGGTGGAAGCTTTTGGGCTTGCTGGCCTTTAGCTGATAGGTAAGTGAAGCTAGACAAGTAATGGTGATGTTAAAGATTGGACAATTGGATATGTCACAGATTTGAACCTGTATTCCCATAAAGCACCAAATATCCCAAAACACAGAAACCTTTGGGTCTTTTGACCTTAATTTAATAGGTAAATTAATCATGATAGGAAATGGCCATGTTAGAAATTGGACAATTGGATACGACACAGACCTACTTCAAACCTGCCTCTCCAAAAAAGCACCCCAGAGCTTTATTTGACAGGTAAGTGATGAGGTAATAGCAAGATGGAAGATTAAAAAAAACTGCATGATGCCAGCCAGATTCAAACCTTTGCCCTCATAATAGCACCACAGCTCCTACATAATGGAGCCTTCATTCCTGCACAGCTGAGTAGCTCATCTTTAGACAAATGGGAATGCTAATGTATACATAATTCATACTCTCCGGATATTGCATACCTCCTTGGTGTTACCCACTGAATTATAGAATTATTTTAGCGTTTGTTTATGTGCACTCTGTATCTGAAGATTTTATTGCACTATATTTCTTCTAGCTATTAACCTGTGTAGCTCGCAAACCACTATGTATCCTGCAGCCTAAAGAAACACTGAAACAAACCATTTGATCTTACAATACATGGGGGTTTATAGTATGTCCCAAAGGCCCGTTCAACACTACATTGTCACCATAATAAAGCCACTAAACTCTCAAAATCACCTTGTGCTGCTGCTCCCACTGGGCCGTTGGCTAACAGTAGTCAAAACAGACCAGCCATGGAGGATGGCGGTACTGTGAGGAGAGAGGAACTCATCACTCAAATGGGTTGTCCAATGTACAAATGCCTATTAAATAAACACCATCACACACTTAATCAACCAGAGTGATTGAACACAGATAAAATGGACAACTGCATCACCTTTAAGCACACTAACTGCCATTTAATATGCTTTTCCATTTAAACAGTTAGATCCAAATGAGGCGTGAAGAGCGTCAAAGCAGCAGAATCTTGATTGTGACATTTATACAGCCATTATACTAGACTGATTATCAATGAACAAACTTCAACAGTAATGACTTTAAAGCACACTCATTAACTTTCTTTCAAACAACTGAAAGAACTTTACCAACATACAGTAAAAGAGTTTGTAGAAAAGGTATTGCTAGTGCATCTCGTCAGAAAGCTGGATTTTAAGTGCATGATTTTTTAAAGTGTTACTAATGCGAAGAAGACTTCAATGTAGTTACACTTTTGCCTTTTAAGTATTTTCACAAAATATCCTGCTGATTTGTAAATAAAATGAGTTAACATTTTGTTTAAAGTATTACCATTTAATACATTTTTGATTGTCTTTTGGAACAATGAATTTAGGGTGCTTTACCAATATAAAGATTTGATCAGGTAAAAAAAAATTAAAATTAAAATGTAAAACTAATTGGACCAAGAACGTGGTTTTATAAATGATGATACATTTCAACTGAACCAAGTGGAAAATTGTGATGCAACAAGTCACTAAAAATTGAGTTGGAGATGTTTTTTTTTTGTTTTTTTTGACAGTGTAGAAGTTCTTTTAATATCTTTTTTTAAGTATAAAGGCAGAACAGAGCATATCATGAGCTCAAGTGAGGCCACAATAATGTTTGATCATTTATGTATGCTCCTTTATGCTCTATGCATGTTGTAAGCAACAAATATCACTACTGAGGAAACTTCAGTATCAAGCCCAGTTTAACAGACTGCTCTGCTGTGGGAGTATCTCTTGTTTGGTTAAAAAGTACAACTTTACCTTGCTGAACCAGAAACT